AAGCTCGGTTTTATGTAAAACAAGTTGTTTACAAAAAGGTACAAAATACACGAGTTTATGTATTTGTATTTGAGGTATTTTTGGGTAAAAACATGCACACGGGTCGTGTAAGATAAGGCACAAGTAACACGGGTCGTGTAGGAAGGTTTAGGAGGGTTTTGGAGGGTTTTCTTAGTGATGATCCTGAACACGGGTCGTGTAGAATAAGACACAAGTGACACGAGTCGTGTAGGAGGTTTTAGAAGGTTTTCAAGGTCAAAATCCTGAACACGGGTCGTGTTGATTTAGGAAAAAACAACACGGGTCATGTTCGCGCAGATCCTTGCATTCACAGATCAAAAACCTTCAGTTTTCGGAAAATCTCTCTGGATAGCCAATTCTCTCTCACGTCTCTCTGGGGTTTCCCGTGGTCAAAATCGTCCACGAAAATTCCTAGATGTCGGTAAGGTTCTAAAGAATTTGTGGTGAAAATCTCCCTAGTCTTATCTTTGCTGTGTTGTTCCCGGTTTTTTATTTTCTCACTTGCAAATTCTGGTCTTGAAAATAGCAAGATGATGATAGTTGAGGTGATTTAAAAAGGGTTTTTTGAGGAGGTTTAAGGAGGGTATTTGGAGGGTGTTCAGAGAGTATTTTGAGGTTGTTTGGAGGTTGGAATAAGGTTGATATAAGGTTGATATAAGGTGGTGATGGTGGTGAAAGTTTATGAAGATGATGATGATGAATAGTGACGGGTTTTGTTTTTGATCTTGATGCAGAAGGTTTTGGGGTGTTTCATGGTTGTGTTTTGGTAGTTTTGATGTAAGAGAGGTGTTTGGTGGTGAATGGTGTGATGAACAAAGATGGTGAAGATGAAGAACCTTGAGTTTCAATGAAGAAGATGAAGATGGTTGATGGTGTTCTTCATTTAGTTTGTTGATGATCTTGATGTTCTTCACTTCATTGTTGTTTGATCTTGGTGTTCTTCACTTTCTCCAGGGATTTATCTTGGTGTTGAAGAAGATGAAGATTGGTGATGTTCTTAGGAGTGTTTGTAGGAAGTGTTACAAGATAACAAAATGAACACCCACACACACCCTTACATACACACGTACATATATACTTGAAACAAATATCTTCTAGTGCACTTGAGTTTAAGTTGGAAGGGATGGCTGCAAGTTGTAGTAGGAGCCTAGGAGTAAAAACGTGGGGAATGGGTTTGCTACTTCATCTTTGACCTTTCTTTGTTTGACTTTTCCACACAATCTATATATATATAATACATATACACATATATAATACATACATATATATATATATATATATATATATATATATATATATATATATATATATATATATATATATATATATATATATATTGTTGAAACTGTTCAGTCGCATAACTAATTTTCTCGTCTATGCGTTTTCGTCATTCGCGTGTTTTCGTATTTTCCGTTTGATCACGAATTTATGCAACCTGAAATAACTGATAATATTTGTTAGATAATACAAAAACAGTTCGTCTTATTTCAGTGATGGTCACATACAAGGTCACATACAAAAACATTTTTCAACACTATGGATGATCCATAAAGGTTTTTGGTGCCTTCTCTAGCAGTCCCAAGTACATTACAGATAACTTAGAGGTTTGTTTATTCTTTTTTGTTGATATATTTTCCTGTTTTCCTTATTACCTATTGTTATCTGGTTTTCCTATTTTCCGCCTTGAAAGTACTGATGGGTTTTGATACAAAAATAAAAGATAGTTTTTCATAAAAACCGGGCAACAGAAGCTTAAAATAACAAGTTTATTTTCGAGTTTATAACAAAATCAAACCATCTAGGATCCATTTATAGATGTTAGAATGATATTAAAAACAACCATATAATATTTTAGAATAACAACCTTTGGAGCCTTTGAACCCACTTGGTTTTGGCGTGTTGATGAAGATAGAAATATCAAAGAGTATGATCTTCTCTACAAGTATCCACCATCAATATTAAGGCACTTGGAGTCCTAGTTCCTTCTTGTATTCTTGAGTGTCATAAGCCTTTAAACACTTAACTTAAATAAGCACTAAAGGAGACAACTCAAGGAAGCTTTAATCACCAAAACTAGCTTCAAAAGAGAGAGGGGTGATGGGTAGAAGAGAAGCTACGACTTCTTTCATTTTGAGAGAAAATCCAAGATAAAAACTAACAACTTTTGAGTAGACCACTTTCTTATATATCGCATGCATGCATAATGGCTACTTCTTATTTTATTATAAAGAAATACTCTACAAAGAGAGGCATGGGGGACAAGACATGGAGGTTGACAAGCAACCCCCATACTCTCTTAAAAGTTGTGAGATTATGGTCTCATAAGAGACAAAAATTGTCAAGATAGCTTCTTTAACTCAAAGACCAAATAACTTACGTAATCATGGTTAACCAAAGTGTCCAAAACTTTGTACATAACTTAATAAATCATACCATATAATATAATAACTAGTTATACTCTCTTTAATTATTTTTCACAAAACAATAATTATTCTGTAATTAAATACAAGAATTGATATTATTTGTTAACAATCATGTTAATAACAAATATACAAATTATGCCAACTTGATAAAGGTGTGGCCCTATAGGATCATATGTTATAAAAAATATCACTCAATAATGATTCTTGAGCATATAGATCCAACAAGTACAATGATATTTTTGGTTGGTTCAACTTGAAATTACAATGTTGACCTCTTTTCCTATTTTCCTCCTTAAAATTACAATGTTGTTCTTGGTTGGTTCATCTTAAAAGTCCAATGCTAACATGTATTCCTCCTTGAAAGTACAATGCTATTCTTGGTTGGTTCATCTTGAAAGTACGATGCTAAGCTATTTTCCTCCTTGAAAGTACAATGCTATTCTTGGTTGGTTCATCTTAAAAGTATAATGTTGACCTGTTTTCATGTTTTCCTAACTTGGAAGTAGAATGCTATTTTTGGTTGGTTGAGCTTGAAAGTACAATGATAACCTGTTTTCCTCCTTGAAAGTACAATGTTATTCTTAGTTGGTTCATATTGAAAGTGTTGTTGGTTCTTTCTGGTGTTGTAAGTATTTTGTTGTTATTTTTTTTGTACCTATTGGTATTGTTCATGTCATTTAAGTTTATATTTGTTAATTTACTTTTTAGATCATCATGGATCGAATCCGTGAAGAGATGAAGGGAATACTAGGTCGGAACGTGAAGAAATGAAGCAAGAGCTTTTGGCCGAATGTGCATAAATTGAAGCACAAAAACAAGAAATTGTGAAAATGTATAACAAAATACTAAAGCTCTCCCAAGGAAATAACCCTAGTTAGACGTTGGCACTTTTTACTTTTAGGACTTGGTTTCAATACTTTGAAATCGAGTATGAATATTCATTTTGGTAGTTGAATTTTAATGTTTTGAAATCGAATTTTAATGTTCATTTTGGTAGTTGAATTTAATGTTTTGAAATGGAATATTAATATCTTTTTTAGCTTTGTAATATAAAATTTGATTTTGGTTTGTGAATTTTGATTATAGAATAGTGACAAATAATCGGTCATTAAATCTCTTGTTAATGTAAACAATTTGTGACAGATCAACGAAAAAATTGCAATGAAACTGAATAGTGCTATGAACATTTGCGACAATATAATTGGTCGTTAAAACCGTCGTTATTATCTAGTTAGCGACGGATGCTAGGTTTTTCAAGAACATTATGCCACAAGATATTCGGTCGCTGATCTGTCTCTAAAAATAAAATTCTCTCGCTGATTCCATCGCTAACTTTCAGCGACAAAGCTTTTACTGGCCGTTGTATTCTGTCGTTGATCTGTCGCTGAAGGCCATTAGCGACGGGTTTCCGACAAAAATTTCTATCGCTGACGCCTGTAATTCTAGTAGTGTGTCTATGATTTAAATTGATCAAGTTCTTAATCCATTAAGTCTTCTGTTGTTTGGTCATGAAAATATTTGGTTTAACCTTACATCTACAATAATGCGTGTTTATGAATTTAACCATTAAGAACATAATAAGTTGAGTGGAATGTAAGCTTAAAGATGTTGGTTTTGTCAAAATCTAAAATTATCCCCTAACTTTGAAAATTCATATACAATCATTGAATGATCCAATCTTCATGCATAATATGTCCCTAGAAAGGTATGAATGACTAGTATCATCTATACCAAGCCCTTGATTTGATTCCATCTATAAATGTGGGGAATTGCATCAAATGCATCATAGTTCCGAAATTCCACTCACCACTTGGGTCATTTTGTAAAAATACACACACACACAGAGAGAGAGGTTAGGTTCGGGTTCAAACTATTTATTAATTGGGTTGAAGATTTCAACCCAACCCAACCTATTACACCGCTTAAACTATTTCCAAACTTAAATAAAATTTCAAAATATGAAAAAAGCTCAATCCTAATTGACAAATACAAAGAATTTGTTCAAATAACATTAAATATATGTAATTTTGAAGTGCTTTTTGAAGAATAACTACTATTGTCGGCCCCATTAAAAGAAAAAGATAGGAATTAGAATTGTATTTTTTTAAACATAAATGATAATACAACATTGTAACTTATAATTTAATACTTAGATTAATACATGATGATATTTAAATAATTATTAAACTAAATATATATTAAAATTAAATAGGTTGGTAGGTTGAAAACGAATTGATAATTTTTAGCCATTTAACTTAAATGAGTTGAAAATCTCAATTCAACATACTAATTTTAGGTTGGATTCGAATTGAATTGATGGGTTTGAATGATTTTTGACGACTCTAAAAAACCATGGTGTGAAGAACCAAGGCTCATGCAATGTTCCACCTCACCGCACACTCATCACGCCCTCGGGTGTGAACGCACCACAACCTTAGTGTAGATGGTATACACAAGAGTTTATGAAAAATAATTTTGTAATATGATAAGTGATTTTGATTGGCACATATTTGATGGTTTTACACTCCAAATGGTCGAGTCCAAGAGGACCAAGACATGCGACGACCGGGTCTGGATGTTTCGATCGACCAATCTCTTTTTGTGCTCCACTAGTAAGGACGTTTTTTGAACTTTTGTAGGGCAGAAGAAATAAATGTATTTTACTGTACAACTGACAAACTTTTGTAGTATAGTGTTCATTCCGTATCAACAAACATGGGATCTGTCTCTGGGTCCAGCTAAAAGTCCTACGATAATTTATGACCTTGTATTCAGATTTGATAAGACCATAAAATAATTTTAATTTTTGGTATTTTATACATACAGTTACAATGATACAATACTACAACTTTTAGTATATTTAAAATTTGCATAATACCCCACATCAATAATTTCAAAAGGCAACCCATTACCTTGAAAGGTCTTTCATGCACCAGTCATAAAAGAATTGTGGTTGACTTGAGACTTGAGATTGGTCACACAAAAAAAGACAACCCTCATCCATCTTAAAAGAATCCGATCAGCTACTTACCAGTCATACCTCCACCGGGGCTAACCAGACAAAGTCACAGCCAAATTACATTTCTTCCACCGGAAAAGTAGCCAAGAATCCGACACCACCCCTTTTGCTAGCTTCCCTTCATATGTAAGCTGAACAATTAAACGTTTTCATATATGTAGTTCTCTACAATAGTACTTTTCATATATGTATTCCACCGGAAAACTTTTTTGACATTTATAATCGTCTTTTATAGAGCTCCCGGATTGTTGTTGCGTATAAGTTCTTGCGATGACACTTGAAAGTAAAACAAAAGCTTCACCAAAAGATTCAAAGAAGCCACGTTTGACCGATCAAGCAGCTTCCGTTAAGAGAAAAAGATTCCGGCGAATCAAAAGTGCCCCGCTTGCGGATTCTTTTGGTTCCGATTTCAAAAAAGCCGTTGCATCTCTTCCACGACCCAAGTCTGTTTTTGACCATTTTTACCCGAGTTACTGGAAGATAGGTATAGTCTTATTTGCATATCTAGTTGCAGGTATGGTTTGCTTTCATCTAGCTAGACACCAGATTTCCGGAAAGAAAACAAACAGCATACTCGATGCACTTTACTTCACTATTGTAACAATGACATCAGTCGGATATGGAGACCTTGTTCCCGCTAGCACTCTCACAATACTTCTCGCTTGTCTTTTTGTCGTCTCGGGCATGGTGATTGTCGGGGTGGTTTTAAGTAAAGCAGCTGATCTTTTAGTCGAGAAACAAGCACACTTGCTTGTGAAAGCGATGCACATGAATGAAACCATCGGTGAAGCAGAAATCCTTAAAAAGATTAAAACGAAGAGCGTGAGACACAAGTGTATAACCTTGCTTGTGTTCCTTCTTGTATTTATGGCTGCAGGAACAGGAATTTTACTTTCAGTTGAGGATTTGAACTTCATTAATGCGTTCTATTGTGTTGTTGCGACGCTTACTGGACTTGGTTACATAGATAAATGCTTCTCGACAACAGGTGGACGTGTTTTTGCTCTTTTTTGGATCTTGTTAGGTACTCTCTATGTAGCTCAATTGCTGTTTACTTTTGCTTTATTACACACTGAAAGAAGGCAACGATCGTTGGTCAAATGGGTTCTTAAAAGAAAAACAACGGTTTCTGACCTCGAGGCAGCTGATTTTGATGGCGATGGCATCGTTGTGTAAGTATAGATAAGAACCAGAATTTAATAACTTGTTTTCTTGAAGATAATAAGACTCTTAATTACATGGTGTTTATGTATTGTTCATTTAAACAGAGCTGCTGAGTTCATTGTCTTTAAGCTAAAAGAAATGGGGAAGATCAATGAAGATGATATCACACCTATCATGGATGAGTTTGAGACACTCGATTTTGACAAAACGGGAACGTTGTCTGTGTCTGATCTTCTGTTTTCTCAATCGTCTTTGCCGGCATCTGACGTTTTAACAACCCGTGTATCATTCTAAGGCGATGCTGGTAACAAAATTTTGAAAATCTGTACTTTTACATGTATTAGGGGTGCATTGAATATGAAGTTTATGGTTTGCAACCAAATATATGCTTTTGTTCGATTTACAACGCCTAAGACGGTGTATATTCGAAATATTTGTACTCAAAGCCATGCATATAACTTATATAATGCTCAATGAAGTGATCTGAATTCTCGATTCCTATATATTATTCCACATAAAGATATTGAAAGAATCATGCTTGATTGAATATGCAGGTTCATACCCATGTATATTATTCTTTATTTGGAAACGGTGGAACAAACATGTATATTATTCCACATAAAGATGTTGAATCAGGGGTGAAACATTATAAAAATTCAATAATTACAATCTTTATCTTCTTTCATTGCTCTGTTATAAACCTTACCCGACAAATTTAATGTGACGTAGAAAATAAATCAACGATAATTTGTCCCACCCACCCCACTAAACTTGTGGACCTTAAATCTTGAAAGTCTCGTTATTTACCGCAAATTATTATCAATAAAGCAATTTGTTAAAATGTAGCTCTCGAGATGGATTATTAAAGTACCATATCTTTCATTATAAATCGAAAAGTAATATCTTTAAAATATTTTATACGGAGAAAAAGAGTACACGCGCGTAATATATTCTTTATAATTGTTGATAACATGACTATGTCGGTCCGAAGAACACAATTTGTAAAATAAATGCATTATACTATATTACTATTCACACTAGTGCGGCGATGCCGGGGCACCATTTTTTTTTTTTTGGGTTTGGGAGGTGTTGTATTTCGTACTTGACAATTAAACCATACAGACATTAATTATGTAAAATAATTATCGTGTTGGTTATTTAAAACTTTAAGGTACTCATAAATCATAATATTAAACTTTATAAAATACAATGGATATATATATATTCTATACAACTTTATCACAAAAAAAAAAAAAAAAAAAAAAAAAAAAAATCTGTAATGCATACTTTACAAAGCTCAATAAAAAATTATTTTTCATTTTTATATTTAAAGTTACAATGACCATTAAACTACAAATTTATTAAATGTTAAAGTGACATCTTAAAATAATAGAATTTTATGTACTGAATAACAATTATACTTGTCATCTCATTCAACTATTTTATTAAACTTTTCATTGTAGATGCTTCACAAATGGATAATTATATTGATAATTAATTACTCGGTCGTTATAAACATCGATGATTATTATCATTATTAATATGTTTTGTTCAGAAATCAGATTGATCATTCGCAATCAGATTTGACTATAAGAAAGTTGGAAGAAGAATGTTCGATTATCGGACGAATCAGAAACCTAAACAAAAAAAAGAAGTAAAATCAACTTCAAGATCACTAATTTATTATTGCCCAAAACTTCACAAAATGACTCATGTTCTTAAAGTTTTTTACGTTACTCGGTTGTTATAGGTTTCAACATAAAATCCCAAGTTTCAATGCAGATTTATGATTCTTTTCGACGACGATGGAAGAACTGAAAATGCAAAACAATACACGGAAACTTAGAAGAATAGTGGATTTGGAATCACCTGCTTGTTGAATTCGCAGACATAGAAGATAGAAAATAAGATCTCAATTTTTTCGGAGTGGAATAAATCGGACTTGGCAGGTCCTATTTATACATGTAGGAGACCCCCAAAAAAACATGGCGGAGATAGCGGCCAGCCACTCATGGCATACGATATAGCAATTAGGTTTATCCCTAGTTGCAACGCCTTGCTCTCTAAGCTTATCTGTTACTAAAGAAAGTTTATAAGTTACCAGACTAATAATTATCTCTAGTTGTTTGAGTCGACCCTATCTCCAATAGATTTTACCGAAACGGTTTAAACTGACCCGATGCTAGACCCGATAAAAATAAAATCTCATCAGCTCCTCGCAAGGATGCAACATGTAAAGTGCAAAGTGCAACTAAATCACACCATTTTACAAATCTCACATTTCATGTTCATGGTCCGGCTAGGCACGCGTGTGGGTTTGGCCCTTCCTTTAATTTACTAAAGCCTTTGAGTGCTAAGGTCAAAGAATGTCTTATAAACGCATTGAAAGTTCTTCCCCCGCCTATGTGGAATAAAAGGAATTTGCCAACTTGTAAATTAACCCTTTAATTTTCCAGCAATCCTTTATCAAGTTAGTAAGTGTAACATCCATAATATTCGTGAAATATTTAAACTTTTAAACATTCCAAAAACATCCATTGTTTACAAATTGTTTTCAAAATAATCCAATATCAGAGTTTTCCTAGAGATCACAATATGAAAAACGAGGAGGTGCACGAACATGTCTTCGCCTTCCCGCGATCATCCGAAGTACCTGAAACAAAATCCACAACTGTAAGCCCAAAGCTTAGTGAGTCTTCCCCAATATATCATCACGTAAACATAACCATTAACAACATGCATAATGAGCCTTCAGCCTGACTGGACCGCTTCGCAGGGCCTTCAGCCTATCTGGACCGCTCCTGAGCCTTCGACATGACTGGACCGCCTCACAGGGCCTACAACCTATCCGGACCGCTCGTCGGGCCTTCAGCCTGACTGGACTGCCTCGAAGGGCCTTCAGTCTATCCGGACTGCCTTGGGTCTGTTAGCCTTCAGCACAAAGCAGGAAAGCCTCAACCTAACCACACACATACATACATGTCGACATATAAATAGCAATTAAGGACATAACCAGTCTACAGACAGTCAAACCGATCTACAGATCACTAAGCATAGCAACATCCTATCTACCAGGATACCGATCTGACAGATCATAACCATATAGAAACATCCTATCTACCAGGATACCGATCTAAGAGATCACAACAGTAATAAAGCAGGATAACAATCCAAAGGGACAGCCTTGGTGCCTTCGACCCTTGAGTATAATGAGGAAAAACTCACCTCACAATGTCGAACTGAACTGAATTCTCCGGCTGCTGAATCACTAAAAATCCCGAACCGTCACAATAAATAAACCTCCAATTAATGATTGGATTATCACCTCAAATCTCTTAACTCATAATTGTCCATTAACCCCTCATTAACTGAGCCAAACCCAAGCCCAACCTTGATCCAAAAGGTCCAAAATATACAAGGTCCATAATTTCGCCCAATTTTCCAAATTGGGACCAACTCCTTATTGGGCTTTATCCTGAGGTCCAACTTCCTAGCTAGCCCAAACTCATGCTCAGAAAGTCCAACAAGGGCCCAAGACGTGATGGCCCAAAGATGGCCCAAAACCGCAGCCCAACTCGCAAAGCCCAAGACCACAAGCCCACAGACCGAGTACACGGGGCGTATGCAGCTGTACACTTGGCTTGTATGTTGCGCGTACCGGCTGGTATACCCAGTGTACTCCCCTGTTTAGCCCATTCTCCCATTAAGTTCTCAATACCTTAAGATAACACTCCAAAACGTATATCTGACCTTATTGAGCTAAGAAAACACGTAAAGTTGCTAACTTTACATTCATGCAAGGCTAGACAAGGCTCTTTAGCTCAAAAAGGGCTTAACACATGACTTAATGCTTGCATGAGACTCTTAACTTCATAAATGTGGCACCTTTATGCAGGAGGGGGCCATGGAAAACCTAGATCTCGAAAAATAAGCCTTTTGGGACGTCCTAGTCCAAACATACCCTCAACCATGGCTAAAAACATAACAAATTGGCCCCAAAGGAGATCTAAGCCACTAGTGTTCAAGATAAGAACTTGATACCTCAAAATCTTTGCAAAACAGGTAGAGGTTCTGGATCTCCAATATCCCACCAAGCTATGAACTTCACCTCCTTCTAGAGTTTCTTCAAAATTGTCCAAAACACACCAACTTTACTTCAAAAGCTCAAGATGTAGGATGGGAGGCTAAAAGGGATGTTTAGGGTTTTCTGGAGGATGAGGGACTTGAAATGAGGCCATGTCTAAAAGTTAAGGATGAATTTATAGGATGAAAAAAATCCATATTATGGTTTTCTGAATCCACGCGTACGCCCAGCGTACCCCAACGTATGCCCATTGTATGCTTTTGAAGTCCCGATCCGTTCTCAAGCTAGTACGCTAAGCGTACCATGTGGGTACGCCCTCGCGTACTAGCTGCAAGGGTCAAAATGCAAAAATTGCAAAGTTTAAGGGGAAAAAGGAAAATTACCGAAAATCGGGATGTTACAACTCTCCCCACTTGACTCAGACTTCGTCCTCGAAGTCCGTTGCAGCAAATAGTTCCGGATAATGCTCCTGCATCTCAGCCTCCGGCTCCCAAGTCCACTCAGATCCCTTCTGATGATGCCACTGTACCTTTACCAAAGGTATCTCCTTGTTACTAAGAACCTTTATCTTCCTCTCCAAGACAGCCACCGGCTGCTCAACATAATTCAGACGTTCGTCAACCTGAATGTCATCCAATGACACTACCGCATCCTCGTCTAATATGTACTTCCACAATTGTGAAACGTGGAAAGTGATATGAATCTGACGGAGCTCCTCCGGAAGGTCCAGTCTATATGCCACCTTGCTAACCCTGGCAATAATCTGAAACGGTCCAATATATCGGGGAACCAACTTTCCCCTCTTTCTGAAGTGGATCCCACCCTTTTAGGGTGAGACCTTCAGTAACACCATATCACCGACCTGAAACTCCAACTCGGATCGACGCCGGTCGGCATAACTTTTCTGCCGACTCTGAGCAGTCTGCAATCACTGCCTGATCTGCTAAATCTTCTCGGTAGTCTGTTGAACCACCTCGGTCCGTCCCATAACCTGGTGACTAACCTCACCCCAGCAGACTGGGGTACGACATCTCCGCCTATACAACAGCTCAAAAGGTGGAGCATCAATGTTAGAATGATAGTTGTTGTTGTAGGAGAACTCTGCAAGAGGTAGGTAGGAGTCCCAGCTCCCACTAAAGTCAATGACGCAGACCCTCAACATATCCTCGAGGGTTTGAATGGTCCGCTCGCTCTGGTCGTCTGTCTACGGATTGTAAGCGGTGCTAAAATGTAGTCTCGTGCCCAGTTCCTCATGGAACTTCTGCCAGAAACGGGAGGTGAATCAAACATCACGGTCTTAGACAATAGAGAACGACACTCCGTGGCGAGAAATGATCTCGCGGATATACACATCGGCCAACTTCTCGGCTGATGAACTCTCCCGAATTGCCAGAAAATGGGCGTTCTTGGTCAATCGATACACGATGACCCATATAGCATCATATCATTTCGCCGTCCTCAGCAATTTGGTGATAAAGTCCATCATGATCAGCTCCCATTTCCACATGGGAACCTCCAGAGGCTGCAACTTGCCATGCGGCCTCTGATGCCCGGCCTTGACCATCCTGCATGTCAAGCACCTCTCGACGAACCAAGCGATC